GTTTTTGCCCAGTCTCTTTCTTATTGTTGAATCATGAACACTGACCTTAATTGAGGCAAGTGAGGCCTGCAGTTCTTTAGATGTTGTTCTGGGTTCTTTTATGACCTCCTGGATGAGTCGTCGTTGTGCTCTTGGAGTAATTTTGGTTGGCTGGCCACTCCTGGGAAGGTTCACCACTGATCCAAGTTTTCTCCATTTGTGGATAATGGCTCTGACCGTGGTTCGCTGGAGTCTACAAAGCCTTAGAAATGGCTTCATAACCCTTTCTAGACTGATACATGTCAACTATTTTGTTTCTCATCTGTTCTTGAATTTCTTTAGATCGCGGCATGATGCGTTGCTCTTTAAGCATGCTTCTCTTTGTCAGACAGTTTCTATTTAAGTGATTTCTTGATTCAACAGGTCTGGCAGTAATCAGGCCTCCGTGTGGCTAGTGAAATTTAACTCCGCTTTCTAAAATAATGTGGTTAATCACAGTTCTTAATGATTTAAGAGGAGGGGCAGTTAATTTTTCACGTAGGGCCAGTTAGGTTTGTACAGCTTTTTCCCCTTAATAAATTAAATTATCATTTAAAAACTCCATTTTGTATTTACTTGCATTATCTTTGCATAATATGATCCAAGTTTTCTCCATTTGTGGATAATGGCTCTGACCGTGGTTCGCTGGAGTCTACAAAGCCTTAGAAATGGCTTCATAACCCTTTCTAGACTGATACATGTCAACTATTTTGTTTCTCATCTGTTCTTGAATTTCTTTAGATCGCGGCATGATGCGTTGCTCTTTAAGCATGCTTCTCTTTGTCAGACAGTTTCTATTTAAGTGATTTCTTGATTCAACAGGTCTGGCAGTAATCAGGCCTCCGTGTGGCTAGTGAAATTTAACTCCGCTTTCTAAAATAATGTGGTTAATCACAGTTCTTAATGATTTAAGAGGAGGGGCAGTTAATTTTTCACGTAGGGCCAGTTAGGTTTGTACAGCTTTTTCCCCTTAATAAATTAAATTATCATTTAAAAACTCCATTTTGTATTTACTTGCATTATCTTTGCATAATATTAAAATTGGTTTGATGATCTGAATCTTTTAAGTGTGACAAATAAAAAAAAACAGGACCTTCTCACGGCACTGTATATATAGGCTGCTGTCTCTTTAAGACCAAATGCACGGACCTAATACTGATACACATCTGTTTTTTTTCTCAGCTGTTTGCATTCACTTAAGACATAACCGACTGTGTTTACTAGAATACTTGCCAAAACGGGTATTTTAACATAATTTTGTGTGTATGTGAAAGTGGAATCAATTCGCTGTTCACGCGGTTTTTCTCCCTCTCTCTGCGTGTGCGTGCTGAGGGTGCATGCGGCAGAGGCTGAGCGCACAGAAAACAGCGCACAAGTTAAAATTGCCTGAATGTGTAAACTTGCAAGACAAAACGTGTAAATGATATACTTTAACTCTATGATGGTTAAACTTAACAGTTAATCCGCGAATCACACGCATGCCGAACCGTGCAGCCTGATCCGTACGGATCACGGATTATCTATGATCCGTTGCACCCCTAGTGTACAGGTAGCGCAATAAAATGCAATTGAGGTGTTTTTCATTTGAGCTGATCTGCAAGTCTTCTTTCTTTAGGGAGGTTTTTTGAATGCAGCCTCAGGTCAAAATTAGCCCAAATTGTTGTCATACTCATTTTGAAGAGCTCTGCAGTAGGCTTGCTGTGATAGACGGTGTTTTCGGTTATACCGGTGTTAAGCCGCAACACCGGTTACGTCATTTGCCTACCGCGGCACCGCCCCCCACCGTTGTTTTGATTTTTTTATAGTAACAAAAATCATTTAGCCTAGTTCAGTTAGAGGACAGACACTTTTAAAAGCTAAACGCTCAATGTGCAGCGTGCCGAACCGTGCGCGAACGACAGTGCACCACGGAGCAGGAGTCAGATTGTATTTATCACGTGAGGAGAGTGAGTCGAGCTGACTGACAAGAGTGAGGTGAGAAAGACAAGACAATGTCAAAATTTCAAAAAAATTGTTTAGAAAGGAAATACAAAGGCGCCTGTTTGGCAATATTTTAGATTTTGAAAAGCCTATTGACTGGAAGTTTTTTTAAAATATTCGTTTCTTATTTATTTGGTTCCACAGTGTTTGCTGATTACTTTATTTAAATGTTGCGTATTTTATTTATTTTATTTTACATCAAGGTGTATATGCCGTGCCTCCAAGCTTTCTTAATCGTTTTGCTAATAAACGTTCTATGTTTCTTATTTATTTGGTTCCACATTGTTTGCTGATTTTCAGTTTTATATACCTATTTAAACTTTGTGTAGCCTAAGTAATTTGTTATTTTATTAGGCATAGGCCTATATGGTGTATTTTTATTCGTTTTGTTAATAAAAGTTGTATGAGTTTAATGTTGTTGTTGCTTGAATTGAATCAAAGCCGAATTGCCGCTAATTTGAAAGTGAAAGTAAAATGTGCACGGCGCTTTTTCAAGCTATTTGAAAGCCAAGAAATCAGAGGAAAAGCGAGAAAACTCAAACGAACAATTGCTTGACGCCGATTTGCGGCAATTCAATTGCCGCCAATTTGAAAGTGAAAGTAAAATGTGCACGCCACTTTTACAAGCCATTTGAAAGCGAAGAAAAGAGGGATACTCAAACGAACTAACACCCCCACCCCCCAACCCCAACGGTGATACCAGTATTACCGGTGTTGTCACACGTCAATTAACCAATGGGAAAATTTTCTCACCGTCACAACCCTACTCTGTGAATTGACATTCACCAGTTTTGAAGCAGTGCTTTAGTGACGTAGCTGATTAGCTCCACAGCCATGCTAAAGATCATAGTGAGTTCACTGTTGAGCTCAGAGGGGTTGAGGTGTATCGGTTGAGCCACAACATCCCTTCTTGAGGTGCCAGAACCCTGGACTGTCTGGAAGCCATGCTGAACTTTTGATCTACCAAGGCGCCACAAGATTTATTAGAGAATTTTATACTTCAAATGCACGTATTTGTTTCTGACACGTTGGAACACTATGCCTAATGTAATTGTTGGTTTTATTCCCGTTTTTTGTGAACACTCAATCCCTTTGTTAATTGTGGAATAAAAAGCTTAATCATTTGGAAACCCCGGAGCTGAGGAGATGTTCATATCCTGTGTGCTGTTCTGAGGATTGTGTTTTCATATCAGCCATTTCAAATAAATAAATAATAATACAAAATGAAGATCAGCACCCTGCAGACATTCAGAAATGTGCTTGTTTTCTCCTTCTTGACTTTAGTTACAATCTCGAAATTCGCTCTTGCGAAACCGAGCCCTTTTTGATTTGTGACCGCATGTCAACAAATAACTTGGAGGAAGGCTTATGGAAGTATTTACACACATATGCACAGAACAAGAAAAAGAAATATCTGAATTTCACGAGGTTGTTGCTCTTTTGTTAGAACAAATGAATGGTTGTTCATATTTGAAATATTTTCGTGTCTGTGATGAGTTGGCTACAGCCAAGGTTTTTTTTTCGTAGACTAACATTTTTAAATTTCAATTTGTGCTTGAAAACATTCGCCCTTTTGAGTATGTTTAAGATTTGGCCATTGTCCATGTCACGTTAACTTGTTAAAATGTTTTATTCATTACTTGAATGATTTATCTCAGATAGCAGGAAAATATCTTCAATTGCTATGCATAAAAGTGTGCTACATGTTTTTGTTTCCGTAACATGTTTTTCCCTTCTACATTTTGCAAGACTTATTGAGAAAGTGTTCCTTCCAAGACTGGAAATTAATTCCAGCTCTCGGTTGAATGTCTTTCCACAGTGATGAATTGAGAAAAGAAGCTCGCCAGCTGAAGAAAGAATTACTTGCAATCAAACAGCGAAAAGAAGATGGTGTGAAGAAAGAAGAGGATGTCAGCGAGGGTGAGTGTCTGTGCCACAAAATCACAGCTGTTTGTCTTTTCATTGACAGAATTTGAAAAAGCTCTGTAAAATTACCAGTATTCTTTGAAATGTCATGTTTTGTACTGTTTTAACAGTGAAAGTGTCATTTATTTCTCACATATGGTGTAATGAAAGTTTTTCAACCGCTCCCAAGATCAAGTCAACATGATCCTCCAAACAACTGAATTGTTCTTTTTTCGGAGGCTTGTTTTTCTACATCAGGCCTTGCTTTTTATGTCAGAAATATCTGAAGCTGCTGTGTGTGTGTGTGTGTGTGTGTATTTTTAAAGCCTGAATGTTGGCTGAGTGAGTGAGTGTGTGGACAACATTAATCGTTTGGCATTGCTAGCTGTTATTTAGTCGATACTTTTAGACATGCCTAGTTAATTGCATACCTTTTGTGAGCATTTTGAAGAGCAGTGAAACTTTTTTGGTCATTATTCGGTAATTGTTTACTCAACCCCATGTCATTCCAAACCTGGGAAATCTTTGGAATACATAAGAAGAAATTTTACATAATGTCCTAAAAGAGGGCCCATTGTCATTTGTTATTTAATATGTTGATTGGATTGTTCAAACTCTTCAGTTGGATTTGCACTTTGTCAGAGTCTTTCCGATTTATATATATATATATATATATATATACTATTTGATCAGTAAAATAAAGTAAATTACATTTGTTTAAATATAGCCCATTGAAAGCAGCAGTGACCAGAGTCTGTCAGTCTCTACAAATGGCCCAATGAAATGGTCCATGCCACTGTTTCAATTTTTCTTTTGAATCCATACACTACCTTTGTGTCTAATTAACTGAAATCATGAAACCTACACAATTTAACAGCAATTCATAAACAGTTTAACAACAATTAAATTTTAAGGCCCTAAGAAACACGTTTTTTTCTCTTTTCTCAAATTCCGGTTTATTTTTTTACCAAGTTCTGTGTTTTTCATTAATTTTTTGGATTCCATTTGAATGGTTTCATTAAATGTTAATAATAATCATAATGTTAAAAGCATTTCTAATTAATCGATTTTATTTAAATATTAAAAAAAACGTTTCTTATTTATTTTTTAATTTTTTCCAGAATTACGGTGTTGTGTTTTTATATTTTTCTGGTAAATAAATTCTGGTAAATATTTTTTTCCCCAGGTAAATATCCCTTAAAAGAATAAAAAGTAGACTTTATTATTAAAAATAGACTTTATTTTCATTATGCAAAATATAGTTACATTTTTTTCCCCTCCACTTCAAACTGAAATGAAATATGACCAGGACATACTTTCATTTGATTCACTCATTGACTGGTGTGATTGTAACAGGACTCTCAAACTCGTGTGAAGGAGTGGTGTGGGTCTTCGAGACAAGTCTGGGTCAAGTTATTACAATAAAGTTAAAGTCTAGTTTCTAATATTCTCCTGTTTGACTTTGCAAAGTCAAGTGTTTCTGTGCTCTGACAGCATTCCTTTCTAATATTTATCATAACCATAGAAATGTGCCTCCACCTCCCAAATGTCTGCAAACTTAATATTTTGTGGCCAAATCAGACAAGAGCAACAAGCTATTTGAAGGTTCCTGTCTTTACCTGACGAAGACATTATCCTCACAGGACTTTTGAGCTGTGCATCAGTGATGAAGAGGAAGTGTGATCAGAAGAGTGAACTGGTTTTCGCTTAGATGGTCCATTCAGTCTAACATCTATTGGTAAAGGCACTAAGAACTTGCCGGAAGTGCAAACAGGGCTCAAAGCCTTTTCTGTTTCTCAGATCCAGAGAGCACTCCAGGCTCTAGGCTTTTTGCTTCATGCTTGAGATTTGCGCAGACAAACCTTTGACCTCTACAGGGCTTTCCAATAGCCCTGTTGTATATCACTGTCTTCACATTGTGTGTTTTCAGGGGGCAAAGGTGTGTCCCCTCACCCTAGTCAATATTTTTTAACGTTTGGCCTGGAATGTCCTATTTGCACTCAGCGGCCAGTGCATGTTTAAGGCCTACTTACTTGAGCAAGAAAGACGGCATTTATTCAAAAAAGAATTACAAAGAGCCATTTTAGAGAGTTTGTGCGATGACATAATCATTAGTTTAAACTTTAGTTAGTTGAACTTAACGTTTAGAATTTAGAATGTGTAACAAATTGAATTGCACATGCAAATGTACAATAGTACAGAAGGCTTTAACATTCTCTCATTTGCTCTTCATTTGGCGCTATTACAGTTTCTTGACAAAATGCTTAAACAGTCATTTGTGCCAGTACGGTGTTGACATTATCCGCATTTTTGTGGGCAATGTGGAGTGACCAGTCTTTGCTTATACAATACAATTTAAAATAAATAAATAAAAATGTAAGTGTTACAAATCGTAATGCTGACAGAGGTACATTATGTTTTTAAGACTGTCAGTTTTGTGTTTCGAAGGGCTTTCGTAATGACCGTGAAAGACACGTTTTACCAAACTGTTAAAAACACGTGAAACGCTCACGTCGTTGTGGATAGATATGCAGATATTTATTTATTATTGATTTAATTATTCACAGACAAAAATTACAGTGGCAGAAATGGACTTTTGCCCACTGGAACCCATTTGCCAATCGTCTTTGTAAACAGACTGTGCAAATGTCATGCTTTTAAGTAGCAAAGTTAAAAAAATTTAAAAAGTTGTAAACGTTTAACAGTTCTCTGTGCTTAAATTGCACAGATTGTGGGGAAATTGATTTAATTCCTTAATAATAATAGTAATAATTCCTTATATTTTAATAATTATTATTTATTCTTTCATTATTATTATTTTTATTATTATAAACAAATTATCTAAATATAACTTAATTCTAAGAAAAGTCCATAAAAATAGTGCACAATGTAGTTTAATATTAATATTAAGGAATTTTGTGCCACAATTACGTAATCGTTCAAAGCGGCAATTAATCGTTCAAAGTCCACTTATGTTATTCTGGACGCTTAAGATATGTTTTTTTCTTTCTACATGTTATCTTAAGGGTTTTTACATTGTTTTAGTTTTAGTATAACATTTATAATACAATTCATATTTTAAATAATTTTTATAATTTAAAGAAGAAACCAATCCGATGTATAACATATGTTGACATTTGAGGCTTAATACTATTGAAAAGCACTAAAGGTTTTTCAGTTAGAGTGTTTTCAGCTTGTTTATTTTCATATAAAAATATGGCATGCAGTTGCATCAAACAATGGTATAAACATCATTCAATGTATATTGTGATAATCGTAATTAATAATCGCAATTACAATTTCAAGTGAATAATCGACAATTACGATTTTTGTCATAATCGTGCAGCCCTGATATGTGTGTGTGTGTATATATATATATATATATATATATATATATTATAAAAATTTATATATTTTTATATATTGTTAATATTTATTAACATTTTTTATAAATCTTTAAAAAAAATGATTAATCATTTTTACATTAATTTATGACTGCATATACTAACATTAAAATGTACACATACGATCTGTTCATTTTCAACTTAACTTAAAGTGCAAGAATAATAATTCTAAATCACGTTTAAAACTGAACTTCAGTCCTCACATTTGAAACTGTCCTCGTTGATGTTCTGCTTCTCTGTTAAAGTGAAAGTGGGCTCTCTTGCCATCTAGTCATCTGGTCCCACCTCCTAATCTCAATGTTTGGGTTTGAGTCCGCCTCTCTAGTGTTCATGTGTCCACAGAGGCTACTTCCAGCTTTGTATTCAGTCCCGAAAGCAAACACATTCCTCCCCTCTCTCTCTAATAACAGCAAGCCACTCTCTTGGCATCTGCTATCTTATTTTAGGAAGAAGCCAATTGTCTCCTCCGCAATTCAGCAAGCAAACTAGAAGACATTTGTACCTTTCTAAATTATTATTTTCGACAGACATCTCTTCAGTTTTCAAGACATAAATTATAGCATGTTCGTAGTCTGGTTTTCTCTTTCTTGGCATGGCTGTGATTTGTGAGAGCCAAAAATAAGAGAGACATGCTAAAAACACAGTCCGTTTTTACCCACCCTAAATGATGTGGCAACATTCTTTCTACCACTCGGAGTTATTTATACAGGTTATGCCTATGTGCACAGGGTGTTTTATTTCAATCAAACACATTGATGTGCACAAGAAATTGTAAGAGCGTAATCTTATAAAAAGATGTAATAGCCTTTTATTTCTTATCAAAGAATTTCATTGCATTTGTGTACTTGCACTAGATTTGCCACCAGTAAATATCAACATCATATTTTTCATTTTTTGAAGTAGAACTTTTAGTTGGTAGCTGTGAATTGGATAAGTTCACTAAAATACAGTAAAACTGTAATACTGTGAAATATTATTTCAATTTAAAATAACTTTTCTATTTGAATATTTTTTTTAATGTAGTTTATTCCTGTGATCAAAGCTGAATTTTCAGCATCATTACTCCAGTCTTCATTGTCACGTGATCCTTCAGAAATCATTCTGATATGCTGATTTGCTGCTGATTTATCAATTATTAGTGCTCAGTTATAAATAATGATTCTTAATATTATTAATGTTGAAAACCAGTTTTGTTGCATAATATATTTTCTTCATGATTCTTTGCTGTATATAATATCCAAAATAACAGAATTGATTTGAAATAGAAATGTTTTGTAGCATTATAAATGTCTTTACTGTCACTTTTGATCCATTTAATGCATCTTTGATAGATGCATTAGAAGTGTTAATTAAATCTTAATTAGATATTTTCTTTAAATGTTTGAATGTATCACAGTTGAAAATATGAAGCAGCACAACTGGTTTCAACATTGATAATAAGAAGAAATGGGTCTTGAGCAGCAAATCAGCATATTTAATTTAAAAGAGTAATTTAATTATTTAATTTATTATTTTAATGATTAATTATTTTTTAATTAATGTATTAATTGAATCTATTAAAATAGACAACAGTTCTTTTAAATTATTACACTATGTTTCACAGTATGATTT